TTTAATGAAGATTCAAATCGTAAATGCTAATTACAATGACAAACCGATTATGTCGTTATGTCGTATTTAGTTTTTTTAGTTTTACTTCAATCGCGTGTGAACCTTACGCGCACTCTTTTTTAATTTGATGCGGTTTACTCTAAAAGCGTTATTGAGAAATTCCCTGGTATTTCCTTTGTCTGATATAGCAATGATGATAATTGTATTAAGTAATATATTTTATATTTTATTAATCATTATTTATCCGAACTATTAGATTTAAAAACTTGGTCTTTATTGTCTTTTTGTGTAACAATTTATTTTGTTAATTAAAACAGTAACAGTCTTGTGTCTTAGCGTAAAAATATTTTCTTATTTTTCACGGTACCAAAGTAAATGATTCTTTGTAATTTCTGACATGCTGGTATATTTTCTATTTCATAGTGAATTAATGGCGCAGCTCTAGCAAAACGCAAGGTTTATATTGTATTACACATCTCTCATTAAACGAGTTACGAGCTCAGAGAATATTACGAACTGTTCTGCAGAGTACTTATGTAAACAAATAGCTGAAAATTTTTACTCAAATTAAACTTATTTTTTATGTTAAAACACAGCTACGCCTATAAAAACCATGTAAATAATAAAAAAATGCAAACGATGGGATAGAAATTTGAATTTTATCATTTCTAAAATATTTCCATAAAGCACATGATATGAAGGAAATTTATACCGGTAGAACTAATAAAAGAGATTAATTTTAGCAAGAGAAAAAAATAAACTTGTTAAAATGAATCTAATCTGGATGTATGGAGTTCATGTCTGATACAAAAAAAATTGAATAAAAAAACATAATTATATTGATTAATATTTAAATACTTTTAGCTTCTCATATTCTCGGTTCGAAGCATTTTTCATGCAAAAAAAGATATCATTTAAGATACAATATGTAGGGATTACTTCCTCTAGTGCATGTGTGAGTGTTTACGTGTTGTTTGTTGCAAGTATGTATATGTGTATGAATTTCATCTCGAATCAATTTGAGTAAAATTTTCATCAAAGCATTTGCTACATAGTTGGCGCAGTTCGTAGCGCCTCACCATGCCGTAATGACAGAATATCCATGGTAACGCGTTTATAGCCTCTATGTCAAGTTACAAAGTGCACAAGGCATCGTCGACGCTTTCATTTCATCGTTTGTTGCCTGATACAAATTACGGGGTATTCTTCAACAAAGGATCATTTTTTCCTTTTTACCGTTTGTTCGACTAGATCGTTCTTATTATGAAGTTTTTGATAAGCTTCAAAGATATTGTGCTCGTGAAATGCACGGAGGGAGATGTAGGGCGAAAAATCACAGCAAAGGAGCAAGTGATGATATAAATTCTTGGAAGTACTGTTCATAGATTGTTTAAGTATGGTTTTCATTATTGTCACATTGAAAGATGCGAATCAATTTAAAAAAAGCCCAGAATTTCAATTTATCTATAACTTCATATTTATCTAAAAATTAGGCTGGTACTAGTAATTAAATCAGCAACCATAGTAAGACGTGAATTCGCAACCACAAGTTCTGAGTTCGATACCCACCTTGGCTAGGTGGATATCAAGCAGTAAACTTGGTATATACAAAAAAACAAAGATAGTTACTATGCAGAATCGAAAATATCTTTCCTTTCAGACAACAAATCCTACTCGCTATATCAATGCAATCATTAGCATTTAAAACACCGTGTGTGCATTTTAAAAACTAAATACCTGGAAACCCGACATCATTACATAACACAAAATGAAACTTTTTCCGCTTCACATGTGAGTTAATTCATAAATATACAACATGTGTGATATGCATCCACACTATGGGAAAACATAGCAAAGCAAAGCACTTAGGTAAACGTTCAACATTCAGCCGCATATATGTCGAAGTATGCGGAATAGATGCAGATGTAAGGACTTATTTCCATGATCGTTACTAATTATAAAATAAATTCACTTTTAGGAATTTTAGTACAGTCCAAACTGTGAAAAAACTATACTTTGGCGTTTATTCGAGCATTTTTAGTAATCTCTACGCCAGAACATAACCTCAAAATGGCACAAATCTCAAAATATAACATTAGATCGACTTCAAGCCTATTTTAATTCAATTGTTGTGCACAAAGTAACAGTATACATTATATGAAAAACGCTCAAGTAAACACCAAAGGATTGACTTTTTGGCTGTTTCGGGATTACCAGAGCTCATGCGACTACCCAACATCGCAAACTGTTAACATAATATAGCTCTTGTATTGGCTTATAGGAAGAAAATCAGACCTTTCTTTCGAGAACAAAGTGCTTATTTACAAAACCATAATTATTCCTATTTGGACTTACGGTATAGAACTGTGGGGTTGCGCATGCAATTCGAACATCAAAATTATACAAACATGTCAAAAAAAAAATTTAAGATGTTTAATTGTATTTAGGTTTAATATTTTGTTTTTTATATACTCAACAATTTTGTATTATTAAACATAAAGTTTTGATTGACAAAAAAAAGTAGTATAGCTCTTTGATCCAAGAATTGGCCCATTAATTGAAATATGAGTATGTGCATGTATTTCTGTATATGTTTTGATTTATGTACAGGTACATGTCCACTGGTAATAAAACAGAAAATAACTATTAAATAAATAATAAAATTTGTATAGAAAATAATAAACTCGAATTTCAAACTTGATATTACTGGTGTGTGTTTCATTTTCCTCCTGGTGCATGGTAACCAGGCCTTCAGCATCCAGCCGCACATTCGTATCAATGTATTCGCGTAGACCAGATGTAATTGTTGGCGCGATAACGGTAATTGCTTTACGATTCTCAAACAACCTGACCTGTTACCAGTTACATATAGAGCAATATCAAATAAACGTTTATAAGGTCTTATAGCACATGTCCTTAGGGATAGAACAATGAAATCAAACAGTGGTTTTTGCCACAGTTGGTAAAAAAGAATTGAAGAAAATTTATTTACACCTATGTTTTACTCATCTAGGCTGATTTTTATAAAGACCATTTCTACCCAAAAATAGAAATGATATTAAAATTACTTTCAGCTCGAAAATTCTTACCCTGGCAAGTATGTTTAGAATTTAATATTAGTTGTGAATATCGTGCATTTACTCCAGCATTTCATCTGTGCATATTCTAGTGTTGCCAGAATAGCATGAAATGGTTGCATGGTGGTTGCTTGTTCGGTAGTTCTGGTTGCGGAGTTGGCTGAATTTGTATCGCACTTGAACGCTCACAATGCAATCGCGTCGCATTCGCTGAATTTTCATTCGCATTGCACTTCCGACTGTATTGCATATACATAGATGCAGACTTATCAGAGCTTTTGCAACATTGTTTATTATTAGGATAAGCTTTTTCAATTATCTTAATACTTTGTTCAATTAGAAATAAATAAACTGGTAGGTAATTATCGTCAGAAGGAAACCAAGTATGTGACATACATCAATAGCCGTATGCTCTGATTCGCTTTTCGTGTGATTTTACTAATTTACTTATGAAAGTCGTATGAAAGAATTTGCTTCAATTTTAAAATCTAAAGTATGAAGTGTATTACATTTTTTTATATTACTACTTGGAATAATTTACTGTAGTCTCACAATCTATCGAATGTCCTTCAAGAAAAAATCTTAAGATAATTGCATATTTCGACTATATGGCATACCCACTTATCAGAGCTTTTGCAACATTTCATATGCTATGAAAACAAACTCCTTTTATATAAAACAATAATTATCCCAATCTGGACATAAGGCATTGAGCTATGGGCGTGCGCAAGCAATTCAAATATAAAAAATACAAGTAGCGCAATCGAAAACTTTAAGGTGCATTGTGAACGGACCCTGGTAAAGACATTGCAAATGACACCCTACATAAAGACATAAAAATAAAAACTATTAATGAAATGATAAAAGAAATGAATTGATTCTACAATTTTCAGTTTCTATATATTTACACACTTGATTACTTTTTGAAGTTTTGAGAAGAAGTGATTGCTTAAGCAAAAATAAGCTGACATCGCATATCTTCCAAATGTGAACGTGCGAACACTTTACTTTTAAAATGTACTCTTATGAAATATGAAAATATTTCCCAATTTCAAACTATCTCTCATTAATTGATAAGTATTTATTATGTAGTAACAAAATAGAAAACTTGAGACAAAAATTAAAATAACAAATATTTTAAAATTTCCCACGTTTTGATCCAGCTCTTACATAAATTTGAAATATCTCGAAGATCAAAATAACACATTTTTGTATGATTAAGTATAATACCACTACGTTATAACTTGGATTCTCACAAGCGTCAAAACAATTAAAAAAGAAAATTTTTATTAATAAGTTTAGCTCTGATATTATCAGTTTTCATTACGCTGATCCATTTCAGATACTTCCAAATACCAGTGTATTTTTCCCAAGAAAACCCGCGGGCATGTGACTAATCCCGTTACAATTCAGGAAATTTAATTACCTGTTATGCCACAGAATACCAACGTGATGGTATGCTTAGTCACCCACCTCTCCCCTTGAAAATATTGTATTCTATTAAAAGTGAATCCTACTTGGCGAAGATTTCTGGGATAATCCTTGAGACGAACGCGTGGTGTGGTCTTTCGTTGGCACTTTCTCTTGTGTTATATATAATTACATTTGCGGGAAAGACTTATAGAAAATAGTAATATGGTGGATAGAAAAATTATTCAAAGTAAAAAACTCTTAGGCAATCGGTGACATAAACTCAAAACGAACAACACAAAAACGTGTTTATTCAAATGAGTAAAAAAATGATTTAGATATCACTCCAAGAAGAGAAGTCTTTGAATGTAAGGTTTAAAATTGATTATTATCAATTAATGCCCATCCCAAAAATGACCAAACCCAACAGGAAAATAAATTAAAACCAAGTCAATATCTCAGTTTAGAGTTCAAAGTGAAACAAGTCAAAGATGTAAATTAAGTTTCAAATACCTCATAAAGGCGTCCTCCAGGTAAATCCTTGATTGTGTCAACTCGCACCTGCAAAGACGGAAAAAGTAATTAGAACATTATAAAGGTGAAAGAAAAGAATAGATGCAAGTGATCGTAAATGAACAAATTCAAAGTACGTTATTTAAAAGCGAGAAAAAAATTAATTATTTCTGGGGTGTTTGATAGGATAAAGAACATTGCAGCTCATTAGTTCTTTTCATCAATGATCTTGGAAATTGAAATATATTTGAAGCATGAAATTATGGTATGCATAATAATGTAAGCTCATTATTTAGAGTGAAAAACTTCAATCAATATAAAACCAGATAAATGTACATTGGTTTTCATAACCAAATAAAATTAAATTCTTTCCTGATTTCTTGGCACTTCTTTCAACGATTGTACCTAATATTCATGAGCAAAGTTGGAATAACTATTAATTTAATTTATCTCTTAGATAGCGATTATATACAATCTGTTGAATCTAACGAATATTAAATATATTTATTATATTATGACAGATTGTTTGAATAATGATAATATATTATTAATGATGGTTTTATAGCTGGCTGCACATCCATGGAACTTTTTATGGTCGCTTGCAACCACTTAAACTCTTGTAATTAAAACTTTCTATTGATTTATCCGACTACGAAATGTAAATGAACGTAAATATGCTCTATTTATCTGTAGGCAATACAATTACACTTACAAACATTTTATAGCGTTGCCTATTTGGATTTAATCCGTTGAGCTTTGGGATATATTGCATTGTATTTGCCAATGATCCATGTAATTAAATAGCGCCCGATACACGAGAACTGTGATACACAGTGTCCCACACCAGGTGAAAATGGTCCTGGTCGGTCCACCCGAAATTTGATATGACAAACCGACCGAAATGGGATATTGTAAAATTATATGAAATGGGAGAGGTAATCCGGCGATATAAAAAGTTTTATTAGCTTTTGTATTCAACAGCATATCTGTCTGTGTAATATAATGTACACTAATGCTCAAAGGATTTTATTTGTAGCTTATTTTCACATAGATGCTGAAATATTTTTAATTTCAAATAACAATCAGGACAATATAAACCAGGAGAACATCAGGCATACTCTTCTGGGATTCTGGGATAGAGTAAATCAGAGGTTCTCCTTGTTAGCAAAATTTGTGATGATTTTTAGTATGCTGATTTTGAGTATGTTTCAAGATACTTCTAAATAGATTCACGTAGTTTTAGTTGTTATAGAAAAATTATGTATATTTGTACTAATAATGTAATCTCTGCAAAATGTAAATGTATCACGTACATAATCAAGTCTAGTTCTAATCAAAACACAATTGACACGATGAACCCGATATAATACCAAATAGCCGAATAACCAATATATGCAATTACAATGCAAACACATGTCCAGTTAATTTAACACAATCAAAGCGAAATGCAAGCAAGTAAATTTACTAGCATTACTATTTGCTTGCATCTTGTAGTTTGGTAAGATATATCCGCCCTCCGGAACAGATTTATGCAGATAAACATTATTGCACGAATTTGCATATGGGAATGGACAGATGCAACGAGACTCTAATCTTACAATTATTAATAGGTCACAGGTCAGAATCGTTTGAGATAAAAAATTGTCGAGGAATGGTTATTCCTAATAATAAATGATAAAATTACAGTACTATTTACCTATATTCAATATTTATCATCATTATCATAATGACTTAGTTGCAACTGAAAATATGCAAGAAATGTTACTTAAATAATGTAATAAAAAAATATCATATTTTTGAAGAAAAAATCCTTTTAATATTCATTATCATAGGATATTGTTCAAAAGAACAAGTTTGTAATTTTACAATCATTTTTTTCACTATTATAATGAGGACGTTATGAGATGAAATATTCTGGAAGAATAGCCATAGTAAATTAAAACATTTGCATTTTTGTGTAAACAGCAATCAGAACTTAAAACCCTATAGGACTGATTTTGGGCTAAATACTAGTCGGTTCTACAAATGACAACCCAAACAGGTGTCCAATATCGTCTCGAAAATGTGACTCGTTATCGAATCTTACAAAATGAGTTTATATTTTTATAGCGGTTCAGTTTTTTTTGAAAACTGCAAGAAAAATTCAAATTTTTGGCCTTTAAAACGTCAAAAGAACATAAAATTTTCAAGTCGTTCTTCTCCATCAGAAAGTAATAATTATTGAAGTAAGTCTTCTTTAGACGCCACAAATACTGATTTGTCATTGGTCATTGATGTGATCCTTCGAAGCAAGTTGATGATTCATTCTAAACTCGCTCTCATGAGGATTACAAAACATCAAGCGTCAAACAACCAATGTGTTGAAATTATGACGTCGAAATCTAGATTTTGTCAATAATGATGATGGGTCAGAATTAACTATCAAACTTCAGTTCATATGTGATATTAACATTTATAAAAAATTGTCCGCCAAGTCGATAAAAGCATCCCATTTCGTAACAATTCCCGTAACATTCGTCGACATCGGAATCGTGCAGGCGTGATCGCATATTTCCACGGGCAGATTTTTTGACGTCTAACAAATGTGTTTACGGTATGTCGCACAACATATATGTTTCTGCGTTGGACATTTCGTAAAACGCGTCACTACACCGCCATAAAAGAGTTACAATTTTTACGATGAAATGTAAAAGTCGTTTGAAAATAAAATAAAGCGCACGTATTCACAATCGAGCATATATGGGGATTTGTTTGGTGATAACATGTTATATGAAATATGCGCCTATGTGCTCTTACGACGCCGTATACCTAAGATGATCATAAATTTGAAAAGATATTGTCGACATACGTATTTTTTTAAGGATGCTTACTTTTTATTCTGTATTTTTATGGTGTTTTGCTTATAAGCCGTTGACATTGTCGTTGATCCCCAGGGGAATAAGGAAAAAAATGAACATGTATTTCAATAAAAATATTTTACTCAAAAATATAATTTAAAACAGAGTAAGTAGAATTTCTTTTAATAAATGGTCGAATTAATTTATCACAATCAATTTCCAAATGAGCACTTCGTTTATGCACATTTTTATTGAAAGTATATTGATTGAAAATCATAATAAACTTGTAGGAGAATTAACAAACATATAAATTTCATTATCAAAATATTTCAGTGTATAAAGGTCTTCGTCGTCTACAGTAAGTACCTAACCCCGCAATTGCAAATTTCAAAGAACTTAGATGAAAGTAGTTCTTTCCAGAAAAAAAATATTTATCACAATTATAATATCTTCATTACCTATGTATAAAATAGAAAAACAATTGGGTTGCTTTATAGAAAAATCACGCGGTTAGGAAGTATCATAACAACAGCTCATAGAGTCCTTCTCATTGCAGTTCCAAAACATACAAATGTATGAATAATTTCGAGGGTTTAAGTATTTATACATATCATTTTATTTAGAGGACTTTTTACATTTATTTATTTAAATGCATATTGTTTTAAAAAGCAACAAACGTTTCCGACTTTTGTTTGTAGTGATTATAATCATTATCCATATCAAATTTAAATTATATTATTGAAATGAAAATGAAATAGACAAATAGTGCCTGTAAAAAACCCATGTATGGTAAATATGTGTAATATTGTCATTATATAATATATTCAATGCGAGTAGATAGTATGTATGTAATAAATAATAACAATAGCAAGCTATACCTTATATCAAGATATACCAAAATCATAAGAAAATTCTCAAAGATATTTTACAAAATGTAGTTCCAAAAAAGATGTAGTGCAATAACTCATCAAATGTATAAAATTGAACAATCAATGTATTATACGTTAAATTAAAAATCTATAAACACTTTGATAATAATCCAACGAGATTCATATTCGTCCTTGAACACTTTGTGCAAGGACTGAATGCTCCGTCAACAAATCCCATTGGGGTGCGTAAAGTATTAAAAACTACGATATTTCATAACAAAAGAGAATATATCATAATGTATACATAATATATAATATATATTGTATTGTATATTACATATAATAACAAACAAAATCGATAACTTACTATTTTATTCACAATTATCCTCAATAAATTCACTCAAAACACACGCGGCGACAACCATCAACTCGGACAAAATGGCACTCGGAAGAATTAACACCACCGAAGACCGACGATTGATGACCGACAATAGACGACCTACAAGTGATCGCTTCGAGTGCCTCCAGACAACTGAATTTGCATAATTTTTGACAATATATTTGTCCTTATCTAGGTCTTGCCATATATGGGCATATTTCGAATGCACGGTGACGTCACACAAAGGTTCTATTTACAGGTCGAATGCACTCAAAAATCGAAGACTAAAACTGAATTGTAATAGTTTGGGCTTCACTTTCTTTTTCCAAATTAATACCTAAGTGTGAGTGGCATTTTGCCTTAAGGAAAGTGTAAATTATCCCCCGAATCAATGCACTCGAGATTCGAAGACCAAGACGTAGAATAAACAGCAATGCTGTTCCATGGTTAATGACCAACCATATGATCTACAATGACCTAAAAATTCCTACAATAGCAAATATTATACAAAGCTGAAGGTTAATTTTTTGAAGACAAATTAGATACACATATAAATCCTTAAATACAATATATTCTGATATAAATATAATATTATGTTCCATACTATTAGTACGTTTTATCTAATTGTTGGCTACATAAGCAATAAATATTCAACATCGAATTTACCATGTATCCATTACCAGGTAGCATTCTGATTCTAGTTTTCAAACAAATTGCTCAAATATATCAGTTTATTCCATTTCCCCGAAATGATAGTGTGTCCACTGTCCAGTAACCTCTGTTGACCCTAGACAATGTCGTATGCAAGAGATGGTTACATAAATTGAAACATATGCATATATGTTTGTGGACATAAATAATTGTCAATTATACTGGATAGTGTTCTGGTCCAGGGATGCTGCGGTTAGCTTGTGACTGATTACCTTTGTAATCAACAACGTTGCACTTGTGTGGGAGCCATAA